AAGGAGGAGGAGAAGTAGGGGAGACCACACACCTGCCACCCCGCAAGCGGCCCCCTCAGGTCGCCTCGACAGGCGACGGAAAAAGGGGGGGGGGGGGGAGGCGGCTCGGGCGGCTCGGGCGGCTCAGGCGGCTCGGGCAGCTCGGGCAGTCAGCGGCACAGGCGACTCGGGCGGCTCGGCTCCTCAGCTGCGCAGACGGCTCGGGCGGCTCAGGCTGCACGGCGGCTAACGGGCGGCGTGGGGGGCCAGGACGGCGGCGTGCAGCAGGGACGGGCGGCGCACGGGCGGTGTGAGGCCGGAACGGGCGCGCGCGGGCGGCTAGGGGCCGGGACGGGCGCCCGCGGGTGGCTAGGGGCCGGGACGGGCGCGCGCGGGTGGCTAGGGGCCGGGATGGGCGGCGCGCGGGCGGCTAGGGGCCTGAACAGGCGGCGCGCGAGCGGCTAGGGGCCGGGACGGGCGGCGCGCGGGCGGCTAGGGGCCTGAACGGGCGGCGCGCGAGCGGCTAGGGGCCTGAACGGGCGGCGCGCGACCGGCTAGGGGCCGGGACGGGCGGCGCGCGGGCGGCTAGGGGCCTGAACGGGCGGCGCGCGAGCGGCTAGGGGCCGGGACGGGCGGCGCGCGGGCGGCTTAGGGCCGGGACGGGCGGCGCGCGGGCGGCTAGGGGCCTGAACGGGCGGCGCGCGGGCGGCTAGGGGCCGGGACAGGCGGCGCGCGGGCGGCTAGGGGCCTGCAGGGCAGGCCGAAAGAGTGAGAGCGAGGGCCCGGAGCGCGCTACGGGCAGAAAAAAAAAGTTTAAAAGTGGTGGGCCCTAAGCACAGTTCCCACGGGGGAACCTGCTCTGATACCATGTGGAAAATAGAGCGAGAATGAATGAAGTGGGTACAAGTACTAACCCTAATTGGGTTGTACCCCCTATGGGATACCCCACTACAGCCTACACAAATGTATAAGCTATATAATGTTCTGACACAGCGGACTTTGACTCTCTCTACCTTTTCCCGTATGGCCAGTGGCGTGCCGTCGACTAAGCGTGCGTCTATCTCCGGTAAGCAACGGCTAAGTGTCAGCTGTAGTTTTCGTGCGGTTGCGGTATTAACTAAACTGTGGCTTGCTCCTCCGTAGATAAAAATCTTCACTGCTGCTCCCTGTATTTTCCCGTGGATCAGTACTGGGCAATCCTTCGCTGTACCCTCCTTATTCGTCCGAGTCCGATCGATAGCGTGAATCGGTACTGTGACTCGGTGAGGGTCGGTGGGTTTGGGCGAGCAGGCAGTCTCGTCAGTAGTTGGTCCGATTCCTACTGACTGCTGGCGTTTCCCTGCCTTGGAGACTCCCTCCCCTGCTCTGCTCCGCGGCGCCTTAGCTCCTCTGGGCATACGCTCTTGCGTTGGCCCGGCCTGTTGCAAGCAAAGCAGCGCCCCTTAAACGGCGCGGCAGCTGCATTCGTCGCAACAGCGTGTACAGTGGCGTACTCGATCGGTCCCTGAGGACGATGTCCATAGTAGGACCCGGTCTCGGACGGCGTAAAATGTTGATTTTCTCGGCGAGCGCGAGAATCTCGTTGAAGTTGGAGAGCCCGCGTAGCATGATTTCGTGCGAGATGTCCGGCTTCAGCCCTCCAACGTAACGGTCCACCCGCTCCGCTTCGTGCATGTAGCCGACCTGCTCTCATAATGCGAGAAAACCACTCGTATAGTCTGGAACCGATCAGAGCTGCCACCAAGTGCGCAATCTCTTGCGCGCCGAAATAGAAGCCGCGATCGGCTCGAAGCGCGCCCAAAGCCCTGCGCACCACGCATCTCGCGTGCTGTATTGGGCAGTCTCGCAGAATGAACTCCAGGTGACAGCTGGACCCGTGGGCCCTTCCTCTTGCGACGGTTGTCAGAGGTCCACTAGTGATCCCCGATTGATCCTAGGGAAGGGTTACAGGCACGGTTGCCTGGGGGGTTATGGGCGCACTGACCCGCTATTTAAACAAGCCCTTTTATCCCAGTGGTCTAGTGGCTGGGGTTCTGAGATGGTATCAGAGCGAAGGTCTTGGGTTCGAATCCCGGTGTGTGCACTTCGGGCATCCCAGTGAGGGGGGGTGTCAGAGGTCCACTAGTGATCCCCGATTGATCCTAGGGAAGGGTTACAGGCACGGTTGCCTGGGGGGTTATGGGCGCACTGACCCGCTATTTAAACAAGCCCTTTTATCCCAGTGGTCTAGTGGCTGGGGTTCTGAGAACGGTGGCTCGTAGGCGCGTGGCGACGTCACGATGACTCGCAACCAGTCCATGGCGGGGCCCCTTAGCAGCGAAACAACATACCGAATCTTCGCTGCGTCCGACTCGACGTAATTCGCGTCGAAGAAGATGTTCATCGTGAAGACCCACGATTGAACTGTCGTACCTCCACGCTGGCTCGGGTCGAAGCAGGGCGGGCGTTGCGGCTTGAGTGGCATTGGTGCCATAATGGCCTGTTCGCCACTTGTCCCCGCGAACTCCACGTGCTGACGGGCTTCGCGAGGCTCCCGCGGGCTTGGTGCGACCTTGTTTCCTCCCATGCCAGGCATCGGCTGGGCGGCGCCATCGCTGGCTACGCCTGAGCGCTGTCCCACGCTGCAATTTTGTGTTGGTGTGCCGGGCGAGATGACGATCGGCTCGTCCGATTGTGCAGATGCATTTGTCGGTGCGTGTGGTGGCGCTGGAGTGTTCATCGTTAATTGCTGACGCGCGGAGAGTTATTCCGCCGTGAGCGTCGCAATTTCGAGGGCTGAATCTTCAAGTTGGCGCACCAGACGGTTGAGCTGCTCCTGCGTCAATGTGGCGAGTGTGAATTCGGCCATGGCGGGGGTGTCGGGCGAGCTCAGCGAGAGCCTCGGTCGTGGCCGTGCGTGCTTACGAGAGAGCACTAAGAGTGGCGGTGCTGTGTCGCTGAGAGACGTCTACCCCCTCCAAAAATTGAGATAGTGGGGAAGCGAAGGTGTGGGTGCAGTCCGAGAGGAGATCGTAGGCTCTGAATACTTAGTGTTACGAGTGCAATTTAGTGAATGAACGAGAATTGCACTATCGAAGCAACCGTACAATGAGCGAAGGCATGAGCGAAGAATATATAGCGAAACTACAGTGGTAACGGTAATGGACTGTGGTTGTCGCGCGACGAGCCTGGGAGTGAGGTTGGGAAAAAGTGTCGAAGCCGAGGCCCGTAGCGCGGGTTACCCACCAAGCCGTGAGGTCGGGGTGCGACGTGCGAAGGTGGCGGGCGGATTGTCGATGCGAGGATTGCGAGTGGTAACGGTGCTGAATGTGGTGCTACAGTGATGTACGCGTTGAGCAGGGATGCGAAGTAAGGAAAAGGGATTTTCCTTGCACTAACACAGTAAATTCAAAATGCTTATGAAGAAAGAGCTTGAAAATGTGAATCTGTAACACTTCGAGAACTCACACCATAGTGTACCCTCCACCAGCCACGTGGTGACCAGATTCTGTCAGCGATCGTGTCGGCATCGCACGGGGCGCCTACCGAGTCGTCCTCGCGAAATGTCTTCAGTACAAAACAATTTCCTTCAAATTCTTCCCGCATTTTTCCTCAGCGTTCCAATCAACCTGTCGTTGTTTCCTCCCCTCATGTTTCTTCAATCTGAATATTTCCGTTCCGTATTCCCCGTTTGTATTCGACCTAGCATGGCTGGCCGCGTCTCCCACTCACACAGCCCTGCTGCTACCCACTCTCTCACTCTTAGTTATTCACGGGAAGTCCTCGCGTTGACTCGTCAGAATGTGGGATGCTGAAACAGGGAAGAGCGGGCGCCAGTTGCACCGATCTTACCAACCGACAAACAGCGGCTTTGGCCGTCGGTTTCACAAGCAAACTACCAAAAAAAAAGAGCGAAATAGGGTGCCGCACGACATATTGGCACGTCCTCTTCACTTCTTCCACGGTATGCTTCTTTTCTACCGATCATGTCGCAACGCGGTGGTACAGTTACAGTTGTAGTGGACGGCTATCGTAAAAGGCCTTTAGCATAGCGTGAGCTGGCGGTTTTCTATTCAACTAGAACTTGGATCTCAGGACTTTGTCCCGGATGAAACCTACCGACATCGAGCCGCAGTGGCTTTCCGTTTCCGCGACTACATGAGCACGTACTCCTCTCGTGCCAATATCTTAGTTAGAATGTGTTTGGTCTCCGTAAGAGAATAGTACGCTGTCCATTAGGATCACACACCCGCAACCGCGCTGCCCTCGTTCCTTCCTCGCTACCCTACGCCTTTAATGTTAGATCTTCAATCAGCTTTTTTCCCTCCTAGCTACCTCACGACCTGATTTGGATAAGCTTCGGTTGTTTCCTGAACCGACCTGTAGGATCAAGGCGACCTAGACAATCCGTCATGGCGGATTGTCGGCGGAGGGATCAACTGCGGAATTGTTTCGAGTCGCCAGCGCCATCAGCATCGCCATTGTCCATGGTAGCGTTTTCTCTAGCTTTCGTGTTATTTTTACTCGTTCTCTCCGCCCTTCCCGCGTCAGCTCCGTCCCCCAGCGGAAGCTCAATCACCGCCGCAGCTGCCGCCGCAACTACCGCCGCCGTAGCTGGCGCAGATGCCGCTGCCATGAGCGCTCGATCCGTTGCGATTGGCGCCCTCAACGGGAGAGGATATCCGCGCGTATTAGCAGCGTCACCGGATTCTAAACTAGTAGGCATCCATACTAGCGCCGAGAAGCGTAGCAGTTTCATGAGTAGCAGCGGGAATCCCGTAAACTCGGCGTCGAAATCGCCGTCAAACGCGCCGAATTTCTTCAAGCCCCGGAACGTAGAGGAGAACTTCGCGGAAAACCCGCCGCCAGAGCCGCCGTTACCTACGGCGGCGAGCGCCGCGCGATCCAGAGAGACCATATCGCTGCTCTACACCGAGCTGCTGAAACGAGCGCGTCCGTCGCCGCCGCTGCCGCCGCTGGCGGTTCCGCGGCCCGGTTCGACCAAGAAGAGTCCTAAGCTTGGCAGCAGATTAATTAGCGTTATGATCAGAGCGTCCCCGCCACCTAAGAGAAAGACGCCCTCGCCGCCGAAGAAAACGGCTAATCATTCGCCGAAGGTCCCCACGAAAAGTCCTGCAAGCGCATCTAATACGTCCCCGCCTAAGCGCGGAGTTTCCCCGCCGAAGCGGGGAACTTCCCCTCCGAAGAAGCGCTCGCCGATCCTCCCCAAGAAGCGTCCCCCCCCGCCGCATTCCTCCTCCCCGCCTAAGCAAAAATCCCCCAAGCAACCGCCCCCCGCTAAACGGTCTCCGTCTAAGCGGTCTCCCCCTAAACCGTCTCCCCCGAAGTCCCCCCCGCCTGCTTCTCCCCCGAGGCGGCGCAAGCCTTCTTCAGCGCAGAAGTCTCCGCCTCCGCCCCCGCCGTCTCCGCCCACGGGGAGCGGCGGAGTGGACCTGGGGAACGCGCAGAAGGTGCTGAAGATGCTACAGCCGTACTTCGACGACCCGCAGTTCATGATGTTCGCGATCAACGGAGGTAAGGCTTTTTTCTTTGGGCTTCATGAAGCTCTTCAGGACTTTCAGGATTCCGTAAGGCGCTTGAACTGTTCCATTCGGGAGGTCCTGACCTACGGGAGGTGCTGACGATGCTTTAGGCGTACCTAAACGACCCGCAGCTTATGATGTTCACGATCAGCTGAGGTAAGGCGCTCCTTAAATATTGTAAAGTGTTTCCCATCTCCCCTGTCAACCATCACCCCCCATTCCCTCCCTACCTAAAGTTCATGGTATGGTGGCATGGCCCCCTCCGTAGTCCCCTCCCAATTTGCCATCCTCCCGCGGGCCTGCTCATTTTCTTGGGCAAGGCACTCAACTCGACAGAGAAAGTCACCTTCTATAAGGGAGGTGCCAAACCCCGACATCATCAAGGACGTGTAATGAGGTTATCTTTGAGACGTCTCAAAAATAACCTCATTACGCTTACCTTCTATAAGGGAGGTGCCAAACCCCGACATCATCAAGGACGTTCCCACCTCGTCCCCGATTATTACTCTTATCCTATCCCACAACCCAACCCCTCTTTCAGGTCTCCTGACCCTCATGGGTAAGGCCCTCAATTCCACGGAGAAAGTCACCTTCTTTGTACCCGACCCCGACACCATAAAGGACCTGCCCGACGATTCGCCGCTCATCATTGTCCCCTCGCATCCCCTCCCCTCGCATCCCCTCCCCTCTCACCCCCCAGGTCTCCTGACCCTCATGGGCAAGGCACTCAACTCAACGGAGAAAGTCACCTTCTTCGTGCCCGACCACGACACCATCAAGGACCTGCCCGACGACTCGCCCTTCCCACTGCCCCCTCTCATCCCCTCCTGGATCCAGGTCTCCTCACTCTCATGGGGAAGGCACTCAACTCAACAGAGAAAGTCACATTCTTCGTACCGGATCCCGACACCATCAAGGACCTGCCCGACGACTCCCCCCTCATCAACGACCCGGCCATCGCCACGGCAGTGGTCAATTTCCATGTGGTGCGGGGCAGGCAGGTCACTTACACGGAGTTGACTCAAGCCGCCACTGGAACCATGGTGAGTGGGGTTCAGGGGGGTGGGAGGGGGATGGGAGGGAGGGGGATGGGGCTGTGGTGCTGCGGCTTCATGCTCTCTCGTTTGCTCTTCATCGCCCTCCCCGACCTACCCTCCCCACTTTCTCCCCCTCTCCTTCCGTTGCAGTACCAAACGGATCAGCACGAACGAGCCCCTGGTGAAGGATGCAGCGAGCTTCCTCTTTCAACGTAGTGCTACGGCTTCCTGCCCTCTCGCCTACTGTTCTTCCCCATTTCATTCTCCCCCCCTTCCACTGTCCCTCCTTCCGCCCTCCTTCCGCTTCAGTACCAAACGGATCAGCACGAACGAGCCACTGGTGAAGGACGCAGCGAGCTTTCTCTTTTAACGTAGTGCTGCGGCCTCATTCTCTCTCACTCCCTCTTCTTTTTCCTTGTCCCTACCCCTCCCCCTCTCCTCTCCTGCAGTACATGACGGATCAGCACGAGCCACTGGTGAAGGACGCAGCGAGCTTCCTTTTCAACGTGGTGCTGCGGCCGAGCCAGGGGCCTTCCCGTGCCACCATCACCATGCCCAACGCGTACACGGACGAGAGCATGCAGGTGAGGGCTATGGGATGAGATACGCATGAGTGCACACTTGAGAAGGACCTGCTGTCGTGGTGCTGCGGCCGAGCCAAGGGCCTTCCCGTGCCACCATCACCATGCCCAACGCATACACGGACGAGAGCATGCAGGTGAGGGTTGTGGTATGGGAGACACACGAAAGCACGTGTGTCAAGGACTCACTTTCATGGTGCTGCTGCGAGTGCAACCAGAGGGATCTCCCGTGCCACCATCACCATGCCCAACGCATATACGGACGAGAGCCTACTGATGGGGGTTATGAGGTGGGGGTTTATGGGACGAGAGCTCTCGGACACACGTGAGAGCATGCAGGTGAGGGCTATGGGGGAGGGGGCTATGGGATAAGAGCTCTCGGACACACGTGAGAGCATGCAGGTCTAGTGCCTTACCGTGCCACCATCATTATGCCCAACACATACACGGACGAGAGCATGCAGGTGTGGGATATGGGTTTGAGGGATATCCGGCACACGTGAGTGCATGCAGGTCTAGCACTCCCCACTCGTCCTTGCTGCCGTATTCCATGCACATCCGGCCAGTCCCACCCTCTACTGCACCCCACCCCACTCCACCCCGCCCCACCTGATCCCAACCCACCAAACCCCCCACCTCACCCTGCTCCATTCCACCCCACCTCACCCCACCCCACCGCACCGCACCCCACTCCACCAGGTGCATGTACTGGACTCGCTGCTCATCCCAGACTCGGTCTACTTCGCCCCTCCAACAACATCCCCTACAATATCCTCTCGTCCAAACCCTCCTCCAAACCCTCCTCCAAGACCTCCCCAGCCATCCCCGTCAGCAACCCCTACCCCACCATCCACACCGTCAGCCCCTCCCATAGCATCTCCACCGCCACCAGCGGTGGCAGCAGATAAGCAAATCCCAGCCGTGGCAACAGCAACTTCTCCTCTGTCCAGTTCAGATCCCAACACCACAGTGCCAGCACCACCTGCGCAGTGACTCTTGCCACGTCTCCAAAGGCCCCCTCTGCACGGTGACTCTTGAGTCGACTCTTAAGGCAGCAGTGAAGCAGCTCCCACTTGCCCACGCTCACAGCAGCTTACGATTTTCTTGTTCTATGGACACATCTGCTTCCCATTCTTCGGCTTCCTTTTGGAGATTATTTGGCTGGTCACTGCCATGGCTGTGTAACTAGTGCTACTTTCCCTTATGTCACAGGGCGTGCCACTTTCCTTGTAGCACGTTGTGGCCTTGTTCAATGTATAGTGCCTCGTTGTAAACAGATGCAACAGCCATCTCACTGACAAGTACACACTTTTGTAGAGATGTCACATATGTACCCGAATTAATTGCTATCAGTCTAATACTCACAACAGTTGGCCTGCTGCTACATCATCAACGATGCAATATCCACGGTATGGATTGCCCATACCAGGATTGGGTGCGTCGTACTGAACAAACTCTTGAACGGTTTGTCTAACAATATCGAATGATCGTAATATCAGCCTTCGCTAGGACAAGATGTCAAGGACCTATGGCTGACACTGCTGGGCGTGCAAACGTTGTGATGCATGGGCTTATGCCACAAACTCCACCACATCCCTGTTATGTGAAGACAAGAAGGCTGGCTGGGCTTTATGCTAATGGCTTATAACAAGTACAATAAACCACTACCTACGTTCATAATGGTACAGCACACAAGTTATGGTGCTAATTTTGTTCAACGAATCCAGGCCTGGTTTGCGAAAGAAACGGGAAGAATTTCGAGCCTTTTACCTATCTCAGCCGTTCATATTTTGCGATTCCCGTCGCCCACTTCAGAATCTGTCATCGTGCATCCTCCAGCACCCACCTCCCGCGCCATCAATTTTGCTTCCCAAACAATCTCAAGGCGCCTCGACGTTTGCGAATCGGTCTCACATTGATGGCCGGATGCGGTTCGGGATGAAAAGCGGGGCATGGCAAATTCAATATTCCCCCTCCACCTCGTTTCCCCAGCCCAACAGCCGACATCGCACAATTTGCTATCGACGGCATGAATTTCCTCACTCCCCCAACTATCCCTCCCTTGTTTTCGCACCTATCAACCACCTTCCCGATGTAACTGTGAATACTCCCCCCCACTGCCTCATGCAAAGCCTGTTACTAATCCAGCTACCTCGCCATAGTTGACCCGTCAGCTCCAGTATCACCCTGCTCACACATCGCCGACCGACATTGGCGTGCAATCACCGCGCATCCCTGTCCATACGGATGTGGCACCCGACTCTACTGTTTTAGATCCAGGCGTATAATACTTCCGCTCAACGCTGCTACCTTGCCAAATTCCTTTCGAGTACAACTTATTTCTCGATCCTTTTGTAACTACGCCGCTTCATTCACAGTTCGAACTTGAGTCTCCTTTAGCTCCTCACGGCTAGGCCGATATAGAGTAATATTTTCCACGAACCATTGTCAGGGTTGCTTTTAGATCTCCGTTGTCGATCTGACCATGGCGGGCCGAAGGGCGGTGGTCCTGGCCGCCGTTCTCTGCATAGTTATATTTCTCGCTATCTGCACGCCAGCTCCTGCACTCAGTAAAGCGACAAAGCCTTCAACTAAGACCACGGCAAAATCTGCCACCCGACCAGCCGCATCTCCAGCAAAGAAACCGCGGCTAGTAAGGGGAGAATCTGCGGGTGAGGCAGTCGCAGGGGCGAAAACAGTCGCAGCGAAGTCCTCATCGTCGTCGTCGTCAGTGAAATCCGCCGGAAAGAAGGCTGCGACGTCGGCGAAATCTTCTGCGAAATCAGCGAATTCGGCTGCGACGAAGCAAGTGAAGTCGACTACGGCGCAAACTAGCCAATCCTCGAAAAAATCTGTAACGAAATTGACGAAGCCGAAACCGCTGCCGCCGTCGACCAAGTCTCTGCCCAAGACCCCGAAAACTCCGACAAAGAAAACCACCTTGCCGTCAACAAAGCATCCATCATCGCCAACGACGACAAAAACGCCAGTAAAGTCGCCTGCGAAATCCCCGGCGAAACAAAATGTTTCGCCGCCTAAGAAAAGCCCGTCGCCACCGAAAGCAAGCCCATCGCCGACTAAGAAAAACTCGCCAACGACAAACCCACCAGCGAAGGAGCAAACGCCGTCTCCGACACCGTCAGTCTCGCCTCCAAAAACACCGTCAAAATCGCCGTCAAAATCTCCGTCCGAATCACCGTCAAAATCGCCGTCGAAATCTCCGTCCAAATCGCCGGCCACCACCGAAACGAAGAAAAAGGGGAAGCTCCGAGAGAAGCTGTTCGGCAAGAAGAAGAACACCACTTCAACCTCCTCCTCCACCGTTCCCAAGCCCAAGGTCATGGTCAATCTCGCGGAGGCGCAGAAGGTGTTTAACCTCGTGCAAGGCCTGAGCAAGCAGCAGCAGTTCGTGAAGTATATCAGCAACGCGGGACTTCTCTCCGTGCTGCTCGAGTCGATCACGAAGGGGAACGGCGCCGGCGCGACGTTCCTCGTGCCGTCCCCCGACGCGCTGCAGTCGCTGCCGCCCGCGTCGCCGTATTTCAATAACCCGTCGCTCGCGCGAACAACGCTGCGGTACCACATGATTTTGGGGAAACAGATGGACTACACGGCGCTCGTCGAGCGACCCGCGGACACCGGCGTGAGTGTATAGGGCGGGCTGTGGGTGTGTTGGTGCAATTCGGCCGAGAGCACCTTCTTCACTGTCGTCTTCCGTCCCTCCCATCTTTTCTCAACACCGACTCCCTCCGTCCCCACATGCAACCCATGTGCGTGCCCCCCTCTCCCAACCAGTTCCGCACGCTCGCCAAGGAGTCAATGTTCAAGTCGGATGAGAGCGCCTTCTTCCGCCAATTTCCGCACCTCACATGCACCACTGCATGTCCCTCTCCCACTCCTCCCTTTGCGCAGTTCCCCACGCTCGCCAAGGAGTCAATGTTCAAGTCGGATGAGAGCGCATTCTTCACGGTCGTCTTCCGCTCAGGCAGCGGCCGCTCTAAATCCACTCTACTCGCGCCCAACCTCGCCAAAACGGAGTTTTTCCAGGTGTGTGCTTGAGTCTGGCTCAGAATCCTCTTGAAGCTCGAGTCCACTTTACGCACTCACAGCCCCGCCAAGACGGATTGTTTCCAGACGTGTACCTTGGTGGCTCGCCGCGCTGAGTTTTGCTTTCTTCCTCGTTGCACACCACGTGTCAAGCCCGTTGTCGTTTTCATTCGATGCCCGACTGATCACCTGTCTCCATTCCCGTTTCCAATTTCTCACTTGTGCCTTTTTCCAGGTGCACCTTGTGGACTCGCAGCTCGTGCCAGATGCCATCCTGCACTCCGTGCCCGATGGTGGTTCTGCTGCTGATGGGAGTGACAGAAGTGGTTTTTGAGTCGACTAAAAATCCTCTCCACCTGTACTCTCCTCTTTATGTGTGTTTCCAGGTGCACCTCGTGGACTCGCTCCTCGTGCCCGACGCCATCCTGCACTCCATGCCCGATGGCGGTGATGCTGCCGGTGGGAGTGATGGCACCGGGAGTGATGACACCGGAGGGAGCGGTGGGAGTGATGCAAGTGGTGGCACTGGGAGCGGCGGTAGTGGGAGCGGAGGTGGTGGTGGCACCGGAAATGATGCAGGCGGGAGCAGCAGTGGTGGCGACTCTACCGGTGCTGGCAGTCTCTCTCCTCCTCCTTCAGTTCCCTCTCCTTCCGTTCCTTCACCTCCCCTCAACCCCTCGCCTCCTCCCACTGTCTCGTCACCTCCTACCGTCAACCCCTCACCTCCTCCCCCTAGCCCTTCCCCACCCCCCCCTGAATCTTCCCCTCCTCCTCCTGTCTCTTCGCCTCCCACCCCTGACTCCTCCTCTCCATCTGCTCCTATTGAATCCACTCAAGCCACAACCCCGCCCTCTCCCTCCCCTCCCCCTCCAACCAACGAGTCAACCTCATCCGCAACACCATCGCCGCCCTGACTCTCCTCCCCCCCTCACTCCCCCCTCCCCCATCTCTCCTCTTCCTGTCTCTTCGCCTTCCTCCCCTGACCCCACCTTCCCTTCCGCTACTGAGGCCACTCCAGCCACAACCCCTCCCTCTTCCCCTCCCCATCCCCTCCCCATCCCACAACCCCATTGTCGAGACGTTCGACGTATACTCTTTAGAAGAATGCCAACGGCTGGCAGGCCAGAATGGCATGCTCTTACGTAAACTAGGATAGATTCAATGTGTCGTATAGTTGTGAATGTACATCAAGTATACGGGCATTAAAGATTTCATCTAGCACAAACATGAAGCAAGAAACGCCAGCAGCACATACCACTACTCTCTTGTCTCTAAAAGAGACACGGCAAGGTGGATTCAAAGCGGTCCGCCCACTATCCAGATGTGTGGTGGTTGTGGTAATGTAGAAAAGCTTGAATTCGTTTTTCGCAGGAGTGTACCGCAGTGCTCATTCAAACGTTCCTGAGCGAACTACTGTATCAAACCCTTCATGTCACACACGTGCAGCGTGCTTTTCAAGGTGTGATGTGGCCGATCTTGACAGCATTTCCACGAACACCGGTGTGTACAGCAGTGCTCATTCAAACACCTTATGGTTCAGCTGCCAACTATTAACCACTACAATTTGCACACTCAGTATAACGTGAGCTGGATCATGCAACACTGTTCTTGCGATTATATTGAGACTCTACAGAATGTTACAGGTCTCAATAGAACTTATTTATGCTAAAAGTGACCATGAAGCAATTGAATAAAGACAAGAGGGGTTAGCATTACACAGGTACTGAGCATAAATGGTTTCAATAAACATGTTGAACGTAAGAAGGGGCTTGTTATCACGTACATTAGATGGCTTCGATATTGCCTGACGGCTGTCAGAATTTCCGACAATTCCCCTGCCGACACCACAGGAAATTCGTTTTTGTGCCACGAGGCCACCGACAGGGAGAACCCACATCACCTTCCGCACCCCATATTGGTTGCGTGAGATGCGGAGCCTCTCAATCTACCTTTCCGTGGGTTTCCGCCCAATGTGGCGGCTCGATTCTCACATTGGAAATATTGCGACTCGGGCGTTCCATCAGTCCCGCAAATCTGCTGAGTGCATCGTGGCTACTTGGTTTCTCATCGCTTCTCCTTCCAACTTCCCAACCAAGCAGACGTATCGCCCCACTTCCAAGAGAGCTCACATTCACAGCACTAGCCGTTTCAGTGCACCTAGCTTCTAGGAATATTTTTTCCACCAGCCATCATCGGTAAAAAAACAAATTCCGCAAGCAATCGAGGCGCAGATAGCCGACACTGAGGCCTTAGAAAAACCTGAACGCTGCACATCACGATAGGAAGTGCCTGCCTGCCTTTCGTAACTGGCGCGCGGGCTGGTCGGACACCACGAGGGTATCGAGCCTCCAGCTACTCCCTTCTAGTATTTACACCATTTGCCACCACAAATTCCTTCGCTCGAGTAAGAAGCCCTCTGAATGAGATACATCACGCCACTTAGGTAGGACAGTAGTAAGTGCATCCACGGTAACTACCGGGCCTCCGCTACACTTATAAGAACCGTACAGCAACGACCTTCACTGCTAGTCCGGAACCCCGATAAAGTCCTTCGCATATAACAGCACTTTGCTCTAACACCATCCACGGCCCATGGCGCGTTTTCCGCGCCTAACCTTCCGGGCGTGCCTTCTCCTTGTGGCCGTTGTAGCTCTATGCGCCGCGCCATGCGCGCTGGGTAGGCATTCCATGGCCGCGTCGACTCTACCCACACAGCTGGAAGCAAGCAGCGAGAGGAGTGGTAGAGAGCTTCTATCGAAGTCGTATGCAGCAGGATCCACCGCGACTCCGCTGGCGACTTCGAGCGATAAATCACCGCCTAAAAAGTCGCCCCCGAAGTCCCCATCCCCGCCAAAGAGCTCCTCGCCACCCAAGACAAGCTCACCAGCGCCGGAAAAAAAGAAGGGTCTGATTAAACGGCTCATTCCGAAGAGGAAGAAGGCCGAAGCCGGGGACGGCGGACCCGCTATGGTGAACCTCGCTGACGCGCAGAAGGTGTTCACGCTGGTGATGTCGCTGAGCAAGCAGAAGCAGTTCGTAGAGTTCTTTCAAAAAGCAGGTAAACATCAACTTGTTTTCAGGCGCCTCAGAATTTGAGTGTTTACTTTGTTCAAGGCGCCTCAGAATTGCGTGTTACTTTGTTCATGGTGCCAGAAGTGAGTGTTTACTCTTCCTCGCCTTCCATTCCGCCATCAAGTCTGCTGCAGAAATTCCCAGAGTCAATCGTCAAGGCCGGCACTGGCAGATTTCGCTGACTGCGCTGACGCTTTCTCATTCCTTCCGTGCATCTTCCAGGTCTGCTGGCGACGCTCCTTGAGGCGACAGTCAAGGCCGGCACCAGCGGCGCGACGTTCCTCGTGCCGTCCCCCGACGCGCTGCAGTCGCTGCCGCCCGCGTCGCCGTACATCAATAACCCTTTGCTAGCGCGCGCCACGCTCCGATACCATATGATTCTCGGAAACAAGTTCGACTACACGAAGCTCGTCGAGTTCGCGGCTAATAGAAAGGTATGCTTGTAGCGGGACACATGCCGAATAGGAATGGATGAGCTAGAGTGTGCCGCATTCTCTTTTGCCGATGAGCTAGAGTGTGCCGCATTCTCTTTTGTCCATGAGCTAGAGTGTGCCGCATTCTCTTTTGTCCATGGGCTAGAGTGTGCCGCATTCTCTTCTGTCCATGAGCTAGAGTGTGCCGCATTCTCTCTGTCCGTAAGTAAGAGTCTGAGGCGCATACACCTCCCCCACCTTTCTACCTGTTCTCATGCCTAATATTCCCATGCGTTCCAACTATTCCCCCCTCGCCAATCCCGTGCGAACAGTTCGCGACGCTCGCGAAGAGGCCCGTGTTCAAGTCGGACGAGAGCGCGTTTTTCACGGTGGTGTTTCGGTCGGGCAGCGGTCGCTCCAAGTCAACGATGGTCGCACCCAACCTCGCCAACACCACGTCGTTCCAACTGCACCTCGTCGACTCGCTCCTCATCCCCGATGACGTCTACCGCGCCCCGCCCGCGAATGGCGGCGGCAACGACGGCGGCAACGACGGTGACGACGGCGGCGACGCGTCCCCGCCCCCGCCTTCCCCCAAATCCCCGCCCAAGTCCCCGCCTCCGACCCCTCCCGCTTCCCCCAGCCTTCCGCCTCCTGTGGTCAGCTCTCCGCCTCCGCCCACGTCGGTTACCGCCTCCCCCCCGCCTCCTGTAGTTACACCGTCGCCTCCCCCCGCTGTTACCGCGTCGCCTCCCCCCGCTACTATCGCTTCTCCCCCGCCCCCCACGGGCGGGATGGCGTCCCCGCCGCCCCCCGTCTAATCGAGCCCGTGCTTACTCTAATAACCAGGGCGTGTTACACTTGTATGGCCCGGCTTGAGTGTGTGTGTAGTCGATAACACGGTAGCTGACCAAATGGGAATCGAGTGGGTTGCAGCAGTCTTCTCCTCCTCTCCTCCTGGTGCTTCTCCTGACCCTCCGCCTGCTCTCCCCCTCCTCCTGGTGCTTCTCCTGACGCTCCTGCTGCTCCACCTGCTGCTGCTGCTCGTCCCCGTTATAGGAACTACACATGCGAAGTGCTGTAGTGAATCAAGATGGGGAACGTTGGACGCTTGGTTGTGTGAGTGGCAGAAGTGGGCTGATGAATAATGTATACTTGGTCAGTAAGCATACCGGTACCTCCGTTTCCTTGACATGGAGGTTTGATTTAGGGTAACGGTACCCCCAGAATATTGATAGAAAACAACAAAGAAATGCAGATCAAAATGATAATGGCCCTACCCACAATCCACTTCCTTCACAATCCATGCTCTTCGTTTCTTGAATCCAGACATCCCCATCAATCCTCAACCCTAAACCGTGCCCCTACAAATCTGCCAAAAGCACACTCTATTCACTTCCCCCACTATTGTTCAGCCCCGGTCCAGGCCCAGTGCACCAGCCATCCTCGTATGGTACCGAGTCGACTCAAAAGTCCTCAAAAGCCACGTCATTCAGTTCAGTCCCAGCACTCCTCTTCCTCATACTGTACCCCCCTCCCCCGGCCACCACCGCCGCCACTGCCACGACCACCAGCACCACCGCAAGCAGCCAGAGACTAGTCAGCATCAAGCCACTACAGAAACGCACTTTCGAGGCACCTCAAAAGCGGCCACCACCGCCGCCACCACCACGACCCCCAGCACCACCGCAAGCAGCCTGAGACAAGTCAGCATCAAGCCACTACAGGAATGCACCCGCTAAAGTATCCCTCACTTGTTCCCTCCCCGCTTCACCCTGTTGGGGTTAACCTTCAACCCCAGAGCAACAGCCATTCTCCTCGTGTCCCCGCCTGCCGCAATCGTAGCCACCACGGCTCGGCTGTTCACCGCGCCGCCTCCCCCCGCCTTCCCCTCGCCCACCTCATCAAAGAACGTCACGAAATCAGGTGCCAGCACGTCAGTGGGCTTGCCCTTCTTCTTGGTGAATCGCCGTCGTCCGTTTTTGGGAAGCAGCTGGTCTTCCCTCAAGACAGGGTCCTTGGCTGCTCCTGCCCTGCCTCCCTTGGGCATGGGCAGGGAGAACTGCGCATGGGGAAAGCGGTGGGATTGAACATGGGTAAACGAGTGAGTCAGGAGCCAGCACGTCAGTGGGGGAAGTCACCGGTGTAGTCATGGTCCTTGCCTCATCTGGTGATTGTGTCACTATTTCCCTCACCTTGCTACCCACGAATGCTGTGTCTCTTGCGCACGCCTGCATGCACCACGCCATCCACTCCCCAAACACCCATGAGTGCTTGTCTCCCCCATGCCACCCCTTACCCTTCCACCTTCATCACTCGCTCCTCCCAATTCTTGGTGTGCCTTGCCTTTCCACCTACCCCCCTGTAGCGCCCCCTCTCAGCCTCACCTTGCTGCCTCGAATGTTGTGCCGCTTGCGCACGCCTGCATGCACCACGCCATCCACTCCCACCGTCACTGTCACCTGCCAAGTGAGGGAAGCGCGGAGAGAGTATGAGGGAGTGGGAGTGAGTATGAGAGTAAGTGGAGTGAGTATGAGAGAGACAACAGGGCATTTCAGGTGCACGCCTGCATGCACCACACCATCCACTCCCACCGTTACTGTCACCTGCCAAGTGAGGGAAGCGCGGAGAGAGTATGAGGGAGTGGGAGTGAGTATGAGAGTAAGTGGAGTGAGTATGAGAGAGACAACAGGGCATTTCAGGTGCACGCCTGCATGCACCACACCATCCACTCCCACAGTCACTGGCACCTGCACGCACGTGCAATAGTGGGAGGAGGGGAAGGAAGTGAGTGTGTGAGAGAAAGGGAAGAGAGAGCGCATGCGCGAGAGGAGGGGGGGCGAGAGAGTGTGTGTGTGTGAAAGAGAAGGCGGGGAGGGAGCACGAGAGTATGTGCATTTCAGGTGAGGCGAGATCTTCTTGTGGACTATTCACCTTGCTGACCGTACACCTTCAGGTGACCGCTCACCTTGTTAAGTTGTACAAGTGACGCAGAGCGAGTAGGGAGGCCACGTCACCTTGTTGAGTGTGGTGCCGTTGCCGCAGTCAGGACAGAAGACCCTCGTCATGTCGGGCGTTACCGCAGAGCAGGCAGAGCAGCGCTGCACCCACCTGGAGGGGAGAGGAAAAGGGAAGGGGCGAAGGGCAAGGAGCAAGGAGCAAGGGACAGCAGAGGAGAAAAGGAGGCAGGGGAGCAAAGGGAGGGGAGACAGTGAGCGGAGTAATCAAAGATAGATCAGGCCTGCTAAGCAGTCGGCTCATCCTAAAAACACCTGAAAGCTACCTGAAGGCACCTGTGCACCTATTTTTTCACCTGAAAGCTCATCTATGCACCTGCTTTATCACCTGAAGGCTCACATGTGCCCTTGATTCTTCACCTGAAGGCTCACCTGTGCACCTGGGCGATGCGCATCCCTGATTGGGCGGAGAGGAGGCGCAGGCCCATCTGCAGTGCCACGTTCTGCATGGCGTAGTCTGACGTCATCAGGGCCACTGCTGACGCGGATAACGATGATGATGACGTGGACGCTGCTTCACTGCCGCCATCCAAACTCCCTTCCTCCTCTCCCTCCTCCTCTCCCTCCTCTTCCTCTCCCTCCTCTCCATCCTCCTCCTCTCCGCCTCCCTCCTCTTCCTCCCCTTCCCCTTCTTCCTCACCCACTTTCCCACCTTGCCCTTGCTCCTCCACCACCTCCTCTTCCCCAACTTTTCCCCCTTCCTCCCCATCCTTTCTCTCCTCTTCCCCACCCTTACTCTCCTCCCCGCCACCATCACCCCCTGCTGCTACTGCCCCTCCCGCCAGCGCGGCTGCGCGCTGCGCCTGCTCCTGCGCAATGCGCGCCAGCTCCTCCATGGCAGCGCGCTTCCCTGCTCTGCGCTTCCACCTCCGCCGCCCGCTCTTCCCCCTCGCCGCCTCCCACTCCCCCTCGTCCTCCTCCTCACCCGCTCCCTCCTCTCCCTCTCCCTCCTCTCCTGCTGCTCGTCCTGCTGAGTCAGCATGCCCACCCGCCACGTCAGCTGGCTCTCCCCGCTTAGAGGCGTCTACTCCAGCCACTACTAATTTTCCCTCGAACCGCTCTTCAGCTACGACCGGCTTTATTTCCCGAGGCGCCCATCTGCGTCCCCCTCTCCCTCTTCCCCCGCCTCTCCCCCTTCCCCCCCCAACTGTCTCCCACCCGGGCATTTCCCCCGCCTGCTCCGCTTCCCCGCCTCCACCCTTCCGCGCCTCATCTTTCGCTCCTTCCCCCCCTTCCCCTGCTTCCCTATTTCCGCCCAGGTTCATCTGCTGAAGCTCCGCCTCCACACTCTCCGCGCCCCCGTTCCCGCCAGTCTCCGTCTCCCCCGCCTCCTCCCCCTTTTCTTCACCTTCCGCGTTCTCATCCCCCTCCCCCAAAACCCTCACCCCTAAAATCCGCGATCCACCTACCCCTTTCCGCTTCCCCTTCCCGCTCCCCCCATCGTCCGCTACCGCGTCAATTCCCGCCCACTCATCCGGATTCGCCACGTTTTCCGCGCCCCACCCGGGCAGCGCCTGGCGCATCGCGACGTTTGTCCTCTTCTGAAACACCGGGCGGGCGGGGGCGGCGCGGAGATTCGCGCGGCCGTGAGACCGAATTTCCTCCGTCATTGCGAGCGCGAGCAGCTTGGAATCGACGGCGGATAGAGTGCCCACGTCACCCGTGGCGCGCGCGAAGCGAAGTACTGGGGGAGGCGGAGACAAAGCAGCGGGAAGGGAGAAGGGGAAGTTCGCGAGAGAGGGAAGGGGGTTACAGGGAGGCGGTGGGGAGGGGAGAAGGGGGGGGGGGGAGGGAATCTGATCTGAGCCATTGAGCTAGGGAGCCGCGCCGCATGCAGTTGCGGGAATTACGTAAAAACCGAAACCCTGGGCAACACTGAATGGCACATTTGAAGGGGTACTCGATCTCTTTAGAAGACTACCCTCCTGATTCCGCGCACCCTGGTTAAACTTCTTGTGCTCCTTAACGTACCCTCCTTAATCGCCTCATCACTGGGCTCTCGACATTTGATATCGAAGGGGAGAACGGACAGCTGCTGCCGCGCGGTGCGATCCCGAACCTCCGCCAGCACCTCGCGTACAGTCACAATCTCCGCTTCGCTGGCAAATTTCTGTAACGAGGCCGTCCCCGATATAAGAACATTCGCGTCCACTACAAGACACTGAACCGCTCCGGATGCGGCGGCGCCGGACGCGGAGGGTATCTGCCCGCCTGATGCCACGTCAGCTCCGCTCGAGACCGCATTGGCTCCGTGAGAGAAAGCGGCGGAGCTCCCGGACCCGCCTTGATCCGTTTCCGCGGATTCGAGGAGGGATTCACGCAGGGACACTGCGCGGGGCGCTCCCCAAGCGGGTTTCGGGTTGGGGAGCTCGGATGGCGCTACAGCTTCTTGCGCAACTAGCGGAGGGAAGTCGTCATCTGGAGCCGCGGCCATGCTGCTAGTTGCAGACGACAGCTATACGGAATTGCTGACAATACTTTAGTGGGTAGCTTGGCTGGAAAGACAGTAACGAGAAACGGGCTGGAGTATATGCTGCGTGCTTCCCTGAATATGAAGACTAGGAAACAGGGTTTTGAGGGGGTATGAGATTGTGGTACGTGAGGTTGTTTGGAAATAAGTCGGGTGTAAGCAGTGAACGAAAAGTTCTGCCTGGGGCTTGTCATTGTAATGACGATTGTTGTACTCTGTATAGAGTACGAGTTTTTCCTAGTCCTTGCCTTCTTGTCAGGTCAGGTGCCCAGTCTGACAAGCGTAACAGTGCTTCTGATTTTCACTGTGCCGAGTTCAACGGGCAGGATGCTCTTGGAGGTTGATCCGCTGACGGTTGTCGATCACCAGGGTTTTTTCGGTCAGACCGTCGCGTCAGAACCTCGAGCCGAAGCGCTCTTGCTTGAGAGTCAGACCTTCACCCCTGGAAGTTCTGCAAGCACCCTGAGGTTCGGGCCGAGCCATCACAGGGAATAGCCAGCCAATAAGATGCTCGTTCAGTCACCGAAGCGCAGGTTCCACAGCCTTGGGGTCAGCTCGGAGCCAAGTCACCCCGCGTTTGTGCCCGGCAGCACAAAACATGGCTTCTGGGGATCTCCTCCGCACGAGGAAAATCCCCGTCTCCCAGACCACCCCATCCCACTTCTCAGATCTCCCCCACGCCATGCCGCTTTCCGTTCTCAAAATGGGTGCGCTTCCGCGGTCCCCCCCTCTTCCCCCCCCTCTCCTTGTTGCTCTGGACTTTCCGCTGCCCCAATCCCCGAACAAGCCCCTCCCCCCAAGTCCAGTTTGCGCGCAGTCAGTCAGTCAGTCAAGTCATTCCACCCAACCGTTCAGTCAGTCAGGTTTCTGAGGGACACAGACAGAGACACTCCCTCGAAAACAGCTGCTTTTTGTTTGGTCAGTAACTTGAATCTCCAAGAATTTCAGTTCCAGCCTTCAGCAGTGAGAAGTTTGATAAGCTCTTCAGTGCTCGTGGCTTGAGACCTCGAGTGAACGGACTCCTGCAAACGGTCATCATTCCACGATTAAGCAGATTTGGAGTGCAAGGGTAATAGAAGTAGTCCTGTTATTTCTCCTGTTCAATAACAAGAAGTTGCACGTCTGGCGTCGCACAAGGATTGTCGTCGCACGTCAGTCGTCACACGCTCGTTACAATGTCGGCCATAGAGCTTGTCCAGGGCCCAGCATTCTCCGACTATGGCTCATCCCTGTCCGCGGACGGCGGAAAGGACTCCCTCCGCGCTACAGATTCCACCAGCTCCGCCGGTTCCGCCTCCCCGCACCCGCTGCAGCACAGCCAGGACCGCTTCCTCGACATGGGCGCAGGCCGCCACGGTTTCAAAGGCGCCTCGTTCTCCTCCGCCGTCTTTAATCTCGTGACCACCGTGGTCGGCGCGGGAATCATGGGTCTCCCCGGAACGATGCGCGTGTTGGGGATCCCCCTCGGGATCATCGCGCTCGTCGCGATGGGGATATTAACGCAAGTATCTCTGGAATTACTGATCAAAACGACGACGGTGCAGCAGGTGTGGTCGTACGGCGACCTGGTGCTGCAGGAATGCGGGCCCAAGTGGAGGCTCGTACTCGATATATCCGTCCTCATTAACAACTTCGGGTTGTGCGTCGTGTATTTGATTATTATCGCGGACGTGCTAGCGGGGACGTGGTCCAGCATTGGTTCGGCGCATCCGGGCCTGCTGAAAGAGTGGAACGGCGGGGAGGCCGCGTGGTGGAACACGCGGTTCTTTGTACTCGTTATTGTCACGCTCGTTGTGCTCATCCCGCTGGCGTCCTTCCGTCACGTCGGTGAGTCGAGTGGAAGGAACAGAATCAAGATACGATTCTCACGGCGTGGAGTTGCACGCTATGGATTTGCTAGGTCTAGGCAAGGATGACGGATAGGATCCTCGCCCGTGCACCACACAATATTCGCCATAGTAGTGCCATATTTACGACATGAAACGTCGCATATCAAATATACCTCACGACACCCACCACATCACAATCAACAAGTCGCATTCGACACACCGTCACATCACATGCGCCGCGTCAAATTCCACATCACATTTGCCATACCACATTTGCCACATCACATTTGCCACATCACATTTGCCACATCACATTCGCCACATCACATTCGCCACATCGCATTCGCCACGTCGCATTCACCACCACATCAGCTTCGCCAATGGCTCCTCTCCTTTCCACCGTCCCTCTTCCCCGTTCTCCTCGCTGTCAGATTCACTGCATTACACGTCAGCAATCGCCGTTATTCTAGCGGTCGTCTTCGTTGTGATCACTCTTATTATCACCATCATCAAGCTGGTCGAGGGCACTCTCCCTTCGCCTCGCTGGTTACCCTTCGTTAACGCGCCTAATTTTTTCGCTGCTCTCTGCTCCGTCTTCCCAGTACGCTCCCCTGCCCTTCCCTCTCCTGCTCTTCCCCTCTAGTTCCCTTCCCAGCCTTTTTTTCTCCAGCCTTTCTCCTCCGTTCCCTTCTCTGCCCTTTTCCCCCCTATTCTTCCTTCCCTTCCCTCCCCTTCCCTCCCCTCCCCTTCCCTTGCATCCCCTTCCTCCCCACTCCTTCCTCCCTCCTTTCCCTTCCTGCCTCCCCCCGTGCCTCTCTCTGCGCCACCCAAATCTACCTGTTTTCTCCATCCATTGCCGCCGCGACCCCCTCACCATCGCCCTCTTCTCTGCTTGAAACGACTCTTAAATAGTCAGAATTTCGCCTCAATCTGTCCGCGTCTGCTATGAACACCTCTCACCACCGCCCTCCTCTCCTCCGTTATCCTATCTGTGTTGTGCCTGTTTGAATGTTTTCAGGTCATGGCCACTGCTTACATCTGCCACTTCAACAGTGAGTACCGCCATGAGCAGGTACCACCTATACCAGATACCACCTTCACCAGGTAACAGCCTCCCGGATCGTGCCTGACTGAATGTGTTCAGGTCATGGCCACAGCTTACATCTGCCACTTCAACAGTGAGTAGCCCTTCCTGTCAGGTACCACCCACACCAGGTACCACCTACACCAGGTACCACCCACACCAGGTACCACCCACACCAGGTACCACCCACACCAGGTACCACCCACACCAGGTACCACCCACACCAGGTACCACCCACACCAGGTATCACCCACACCAGGTATCACCCACACCAGGTGCCACCCACACCAGGTGCCACCCACACCAGGTGCCACCCACACCAGGTGCCACCCACACCAGGTGCCACCCACACCAGGTGCCACCCACACCAGGTGTCACCCACACCAGGTGCCACCCACACAGGTGCCACCCACACCAGGTGCCACCCACACCAGGTGCCACCCACACAGGTGCCACCCTCCCTTCTTCCTCCCTCTCCCTCTTCATCTCCCCCTTCATCTGCCCCCAAACTCCCTCTGTATGGCGTTCCCTCCGCCCCTGCTCCCTCTACCCCTCCTTCTGTCTCCGCCCATTCCCCACACCGCCCCTCTCTCTGTCGATTCCTCTGTCCCTCCCTCTATCTCTCCCTCTGCCCCTGCCCAACCTCCCTCCCTCCTCCCTCCACATTCACCCTCCCCTTCCTCTCCCCACCCCACATCCCCCACCCTCCAGTCCACCCCATCTACGTGGAGTTAAAGGATCGCACGGAGCAGAACATGACAGCGGTAACCCGTTTCTCCATGGCGACGTGCTTCGCCATCTACACGCTCACCTCGCTCTGTGGCTACCTGCTCTTCGGCGACGCCACCGCCCCGGACGTCCTCGCCAACTTCTCCTCGCCGGTCCTCACGGGGCAGCAGTGGCTCAACGACGTGGTGCGCATCTCGTACGCGCTGCACGTGGTGCTCGTGTTCCCCGTCATCTACTACTCGCTCCGGAACGTCACGGACGATCTGTTTTGCTACAACGCGGAGAAGTCGCTCGCAGAGGATGACAGGCGGTTCTGGATTATCACTGGAGTGCAGCTGGTGGGGATCTGCCTGATCGGCACGCTCGTGCCCAACATCTGGGTGGCGTTTGACTTGACCGGGGCGACCTCGACGATGATTATTGGGATGGTGTTCCCCGCCGTCATTGCTCTCAGGTGAGTGGGCCCGGTAGGGCTGTGCCCTCACTGTGACAGGAGGTTCTGGATTATTACTGGAGAGCAGCTGGTGGGGATCTGTATTATTGGCACACTCATGCCCAACATCTGGGTCGCGTTCGACTTGACCGGGGCGACCTCCACCCACCATGATCATCGGCATGGCGTTCCCTGCTGTCAGTGCTCTCAGGTGAGCGAACCTCTTCCCTCACCTCTTCCCTCACCTCTTCCTTCACCTATCAACTCACCTCTCCTCTCCCGTCTCGCTTAATCACTCACCAACAGGGACCGGTCGGGAGTGGTGCATGGGTGGGAGCGCAAGACGTCATGGGCCATGATCGTGTGGGCCGCCATCATCTGTGTGACCAGCATTGGCTCACTGCTGTATGCCTGATTCACTCTTCTGCCTTTCTTCCCCCCTCTCTTCTCCCCCTATCGTGCTGCCAGGGACCGGTCGGGAGTGGTGCATGGGTGGGAGCGCAAGACCTCATGGGCCATGATCGTGTGGGCTGCCATCATCTGTGTGACCAGCATTGGCTCGTCCATCTACATGCTGGTCGTGGGTATTGCCAGCCAGCCCGGCTCGCAGAACACCCAAGGGTAGAGCAGGAGGGGGGACGGGGAGTGGAAGCCAGCCAGCTCGGCTCACAGGACACGCAGGAGGGACCTGGTAAACAAACAGGAGGGATGGGGAGTGGAGGAAGGAGAAGGGGGAAAGGTGAAGGGGAGCTGGCACATAGTGCCAAGTTGGATTGGCTTCGAGGAGCCATAGAAGCTACCGTAAGCAGTTTTTGAGTCGACTCAAAAGTCAGCAAGTTGGATTAGTCAGCTTCGAGGAGCCGCAGAAAACTACCGGAAGCGGTTTTAATCTGGTACTGGCACGTACCAAATTATCTACAGTAGTGGAGTGGGTAGCCGTTGAACATGTGTGATGACTATTCGTAGGATAGGATATGTTTTGCATACTGGTAGTTGTTGCATGCACACGTGGCAAGTCCCATTTGACTGCACTTTATCCAGACCCTGAAACATACAAAAAAACGTTCATTCAACCCTCCTCCTGGCATACAAATGACACTGCTTCAGCCTGAGGACCCGGGACTTCCGCATGGGGGGTCATTGATTCGGGAGAATGAGTTCTCTTGGGTTCCCTTCCATTGGTACAGCTACTGCTACAGCTACAGCTACTGCTGCTGCATCCGCTCTAGCATCTCGGGACCACCTTCTGCCCGCCCTTCTCAGCCCAGCCATGCCGCTTGAAGCCATGCCCTCCTGCATGTCAAACGCTGCGCACCACACCGTACCACACCACACCGCACCGCACTGCACCACATGCCCTCCAGCCACCCTCGCTGATTTTATGGCACTGCTACAGCTACTGCTGCTGCATCCGCTCTAGCATCTCAAGAGCAGCAGGCGGGATGACTTTCTGTCCGCCCTTCTCAGCCATGCCACTTGAAGCCATGTCTTCTAGAATGTCAAACGCGGCACACCAGGCCGCCTCCAAGTCTCCAAACCACTCCTCCCCGAAAGCTCTCTGTAGTGCCTTCATGAAGCCAGTGCGGAAGATCTAAATGGGGGGAGGGAAAGGTGTGGAGGAAGGGAAGAGAGAGCGGTTGAATTTCAGGGCGGATGTTTAGCGCTGCACACCACTCCTCTCCAAACGCCCTCTGCAGTGCCTTCATAAAGCCAGTGCGGGAAATCTGAAGGGAGGAGTGTGGGGGAGTGTGGGGGAGACAGATGAGAGAGAGTGCGGTTGAGCTGGAAGCCATGTCGTCTAGAATGTCGAACGCGGCACGCTATGCGGCCTCCAAGTCCCCAAACCACTCCTTCCCAAACCACTCCTTCCCAAACCACTCCTTCCCAAACCACTCCTTCCCAAACCACTCCTTCCCAAACCACTCCTTCCCAAACCACTCCTTCCCAAACCACTCCTTCCCAAACCACTCCTTCCCAAACCACTCCTTCCCAAACCACTCCTTCCCAAACCACTCCTTCCCAAACCACTCCTTCCCAAACCACTCCTTCCCAAACGCTCTCTGTAAAGCCTTCATGAAGCCAGTGCGGAAAATCTGCATGGTGGGGGGGAGATTGGAAGAGGGAGAGGGGTTGAACTTGAAGTCAAATCCTCTCAACTTGAACTTGATGCCGTCGTGGTTCAAAGAGGTGTCGGCCGCCCAACGGCTTAGAGAGAGGTGTTGCCCTGTGAGCTGCTACCCCCGCGATAAAAGTGTTGTGTTGAGACGCCTCAAAACAACACTTTCCTCAGTTGAAGCCAAATCCTGTTGATGCCTTTGTGGTTTAGGTGTCGGCCACCCAACGGCTTAGAGAGAGGTGTTGCCCTGTGTGCTGCTACGCTACCCCCATCTCCTTCTCCCTCATCTCCCCACTTGCAACATTGACCCCTCAACTCCTGGAAAGTCGTCCCCATCAATGACGTAGTTGAGGTGCCTGCCTCCCAGAGCCTTGATTCAGGACGCTTGCTTGTGTGCTCCTACCCTCCCCACACCCCTTCCATCATCCACCACCCACACCCACTCACAGGAAAGTCGTCCCCATCAATGCCGTAGTTGAGGTGCCTGCCTCCCAAAGCCTTGAAGAAAGGGCGCTGCCTGTGTGCTTCAGCCAACGGACTTCTGCACTCACAACCGCTCACACCCAATCACACCCACTCATACTCACTCACACCCATTCACAACCACTCACACCCACTCACGGGAAAGTCGTCCCCATCAATGCCATAGTTGAGGTGCCGGCCGCCCAGCGCCTTGAAGAATGGCGTTTGCTTGGCAATCCGCTCCGGATCATCCCAGTTGCTGAAGGCCTCGCACATCTGAGAAGGGGAGGGGGGAGGAGGAGAGGAGCACGGACATAGGGATAGGGGATTGTGCAATGACGAAGCCTCCCTGCCAGCCCAAGTGCTGAAGGTACTACCAGCATTCTTCATCGCTCCCACCATCACTCATTCCTCATCCTTCCCACCATTCCACGAACATCGATCCATCCCATCAACCCATCCGCCCCACCCACCAAGGTGAATGCGAGCGTGGCGTGCGCCTTGAGGCGCAGGCTGACGGGCGCGGGCTCGCTGGAGTCGCTGTATACACACACTGTAAGCCTACAGCCATTCGCTGCTGTTGATGCATCGATCTCATACCACTACTACCAGCATCAACAGCCCATCCCATCCGCCCAACCATTCCACCGCATGCGTCCCTCCCATTCCCACCCACCATGGTGAATGCGAGTGTGGCGTGCGCCTCGAGGCGCGGGTTGACGGGTGCGGGCTCGCTCGACTCGCGCACCATGGAGAATAGGGGCTTCGCCTCGGGGCAGATGTCGAATATGCTGACGTGGAGGTTAGCCATTGGGCCAATGAAGGGGAAGGAAGGGCGGAGGGAGATGGTCAGGAGTTGATCCAGTTGGAACGAAACAGACATTGCGAGTCAATTCGAGCCAACTAAGTCAAGGCAGCGTGAATCAAGCGAGTCAACGCAAAGTCAAAGTGACTCAAGTCAACGCGAGTCACTCACGTGAGGTACATGATGAGCGCGTGCTGCTTCCTGTCCTTCTCGATGCGCGCGTACGACTCGCGGATCAGCGCCGCTTGCTCCGGCAGCAGCACTTCTTGCCGCTTCGGTACGCCTCCGTAACTCGCGGCGTCTGTTGCGGCGCCAGTCGCGGGGGCGGTGCCGGTGGGAATGGGCGGTCCCGCGAAATCCTCGTCGCTTCCCACGTGGCCGAAGAGGATATTCGCGGGAATCTCGCTGCCCCCGCCGTACATCCTCGCGACGCGGCGATTGCGATTCCCCAAAAGATTAGGATGCTGAAAAAAAAACTCTTCAAAATATATATATATATATATATATATATATATATATATATATATATATATATATATATTTATATACTATCCCTCACAACATAAAAATTGCGAAACGCAGTTGATTTTGTGAAATGCTGGAAGCGGTTTCGCCTTCGCCAGCTGGCCTACGAGCGCTGCTCGCCGCCCCGCAGCGCCCGAGAGTACTTGCAGCCCTGCCGCTGCTCTAGCTTGGATTAAACTCTGTTTTTGACTCGACTAAAAAGAACGCCCCGCAGCGCCCAAAAGGATTTGCCGCCCTGCCGCTGCTCTGCCTTGGACTCTGCCGCAGGCAGGCTGACCCCTTCGCTACTCGGGCGCTCTTCCAATGGTGTCACCGGTGCCGTCAGTTGGCTGGCAGCTGCTGGGCCGTTGCTCACGTCTACGTCAGTTGCCTACGTCAGTTGCTTACGTCAGCTGCTTACGCCAGTTGCTTACGTCAGTTGCTCACGTCAGTCGCTTCTCGGCAGGCTGACTCCTCAGGGAGTGATTGGTTTGACTGGAGAACCCTTTGGCTGGTAACGAGGCACGACGCCCAAATTGCGCTTCGAGTCTGAGCCCAATGCCGCTGCCTCTCGTATGTACAGAGTTAGTACGCGAAGTTCAATGCTCGCGCCGTTTGTGAGGGCTACTGACTGGATTAGAAAGTGAGGAAAGCTGGAGGCTGTGGGTGGAAATAAAGGCCGACAGAGGGCTAACGTAGTAGCCCGCGTCGGGGAGGATGACGGACAGGTGACGGGGTCACAAAAGTGGGTTCATTCGCAGTTTCCGTACAAATAATGCTCGGGTAGGTGCATAGCGGTTTAAAGTGGTGACCACTTTTAAGCGCACAAAATCGCACCCAACCGCGTTGTGGTTCATCGACAAAGCTTTTTGACAGTGAATAGCAAGTGGCCACTAAGGACGCGGCACCTCCAGCACCGACCCTGCGATCGATCCTGCGCAGGATCGAATGATCTAGGAGTTTGAAATGGTTTCAAAAGCTTTAAAAACTTTCAGCAGGATTTCAGTACGGTTGAATCAGCGATCCTGCGATCGATCGTGCAAAATTGCTTGAGGTGCCGCGTCCTAACCACAATCCCGGAGTGCTGGATAGTTGAGGGATGAATGAACACGGTTACAAGCGTGATACCATCGTTGAAGCTCGTGAATGCCCACCAAGCGAAGGTCAAGTGGGTAGGCTATTTGGGCTAGTTGAAGTTCGCGAACTTTCACACGATGCAGACGTGGAACCGTCGGTTGCTGGGCTGTACGTCGGCCGCGCCTGCCTGCTATTCGGTATTATTTCCAGCATTGTGCCACAAGGTGCCACGTCCTCGCGTTTCTGCAGGTTGAGAAGTCAATTAGTTATGAAACACAGTTTTCCTGTTTGTGTTATCCCAGCATTGGAAAATAATCAAACACAACCAAGCCACAGAAAGCTTTAACAGAAATCAGTTGGCAAAGCAGTTCAGCAAGAATAAGGTCAGTTCTTGAAGAGGCAAAAAACGATTATTAACAAAGCCTGACCCCTGCAGATGAAGTACTACTCCAGTTGGCACCTGTTTGAGAATGCCATTAGCGCTGCTGCTGCTGCTGCTGCTGTTGCCTCCACTGCTGCTGCTGGTGCAACTGCTGTTGGTGCAGGTGCTGCTGATGCATTTGTTGCTGGTGCATAAACTGTTGCTGCTGCTGCTGCTGCTGCTGCTGCTGCTGCTGCTGCTGCTGCTGCTGCTGCTGCTGCTGTTGCTGCTGATGAAACTGCTGCTGCTGCTGATACTGCTGTTGATGTTGTTGCATGTAGGGGGAATTGATCGGAGGCGGTTGAACACCAGGCCCAACCACCTCTCGTCGCCCCCCTCCAAGCACACCCCCCCCACCCCCTCCCACCCCACCACTCCCAGCAGCATTACCACCACCTGCACCTGCTTGTGCTCCCGTCATTTCCTTCACAGCTACTCCGATCCCTCCCCCGTTTACCCCCACACCCCCCACCACATACGGCATCCCCCCACCCGCAACCGAGCCTCCCATTTGCCCCATGCCAAATCCCGGCCCTGCTACCGAACCTGCTGGCCTTACCACATTCCCTCCTCCATAACCATACCCCATATTTCCCGGCACAACCATACCTCGGTTCACAACCATGCCTGGGTTTGGGCCTGGCACCATGCCGGGCGAAAAGGCTGGGCCCGAACCTGTTCCCTGACCTGGTCTCACTGAACCACTAACACCAGGAACGGAAATTGCTCCTGGACCCATGATGCCATCCCTCTGTAGGTTTGGTGGAAAGCCAGGGCCTACCCCCCTTCCTGCTGCTGTTGCTGTCGAACCAGTCATTCCCATGCCTACCCCTCCAGGAGAACCTGCCGAACCTGGCATCGAACTGGGAGGTTGGATCAGTCCGTATGGAACCGGACCAGGGGCAGATCCGGGAACAGCTCCTGGAAGAGGCCCGGGAACAGGTCCGGGAACAGGTCCGGGAATAGGTCCGGGCATTGGCATGACTCCACGGCCATGCATGGCCATCATTCCCACAGCAGCATGTGCCCTCCACACGTTCAGCGGATGAGGAGGGCCAAGCGTAGGAATTTGCTGGAAATGCACGGGTAAACCACCCGGGGGTAGATTGCCCGGGGGGAAACTGCCCGGTGGAAACCCCGCCCCTGGAAACCCTGGCTGGATCAACCCTGCCGAACCAGCGCCCACCGAGCCTGGAGATTGCCCCGGGCCGTGGACGGACACGTTTGGTGCCGGACCTGGCGCCGGACCTCCAGGCCTGGCAGGTCCCGCCCCACCCGGGCCTCCACGCCCGGTTCGGTTGCCAGCAGCAGCATTATTCGCGGGCGCAGAGGGCGAGAGCGAGGGGAATTCGGAGGCATAGGTAACGACAGGAGCGTATATTGGCTGCATGCCGTACGGATTAGGCGCCTGGGCACCAAAGCCAGGGTCGAACCTCTGTGAGAACCGATCATAACCGCGCTGGTAGTCGGGGTCCTGCTTCTCCTTCTCCCTGTCTCGCAGAATAGCAACATTCCTCCCTTTCCGCCCGCCTGACGAGCTCTTGGTTAGCCCTTGCTTATCCGCGCCAACCTTTTCCTCCCCGCCACTGCCCTTCCCCTTCCCGCTTCCCTTCCCCCCTGCGTCCGCGCCTGCCTTCGCCCCTGTCTTTCCGCCTGCCTCCGCACCTGTCTTCCCCACTGCCTTCCCCTCCTTCTCCTGCTTCCCACCCGCTTCGCCCTTTCCGCCTGCCCCTTCCGCGCTGCTCGCGCTTTCCTCGCTGTCCACAGCATCCACTTGGGCAGTATTGAAAATTCTTGCTCGTGCCCGGTTATACATCTCCTTCCGCTCCTCCACGGATCGGATCACTCCCGCGCCATCCGCCCCGTCCGCGGAACTTCCGCCCATTCCCCCTTCTCCTCCATCCCCCGCAGCCCCTCCTCTTCCCCCGCTCGGCCTCCGCCTTATTGCCAGCTTAAACCCCCCAGGGCCTGGCGCAGCTTCTGCGCCTGCTCCGCCGCCGTTCACGGCGCCGGCGCCGGGAGCGCCGCCGCTTCCGCCGCTGCTGGTCGGGCCGAGAGGGAGATCGACGAGGCGGACGGCGGGCGGGCGAAGCTCGCCAACCTTTCGCGCGACGACGACAGTGCATTCGCCACCGCTTGGCGTGACGGCATCTGCGGCGGACGTCTGTAGCGAGTAGTGCTGCGCGACGCGGTGCGCGGCGGCGCGATGGTACGACGACGCCATTGGTTGGAACTCCATGACCTGAAGGTTCGGGTTCCGGATAAACCGCTCGACGTCCTGCTCCATGCGGAGAACTGGCGCCGGGGGGATTAGAGGGTTGGGGGAGAGGGGGGGCGGGGAGGGGAAGACGCGAGGCAGAGACAGGATTTCGCATACCATTGGAGGAAGAGGACAAATGATTTCTAGGCGCTTTAAAAACAGACTTGACGCTTTGCAGTTAAAACCGTTTCACGTCGCTCCATGCAGAGCACCGTATGCGGCAAGAGCATCAACGATAGAAGCGAACGAATGTTTGATAAGAGAACAGAAAGTGCCAACGCATAAATTTAGAAGGCAACAAGGCTCTATAAAAAAAGTGCCAAATGACACGGCGAACGTACTTGTGAGTCGATCACGAGGGTTTGCGAGAGCCTCCCTGAGAAAGCTGTCGACGAGCTCCAAGCGCTTGTCGATCACCTGCGGCTGACCCGCCGATTGATTCTTCGTCGCAAGCCCGGGTTGCTGGCTTGACAGCTGGTTGGTCTCCATCGCTTGCTGCTGCTCGTCGCCGGTGCCGGTCCCATTGATGCTGTCAATGGAGTTGTTGTTCTCGCCAGTAGCGCCGTTCGTTACAATCACGGGTTTGAATATCTGCAGTTGCTTCAACCGCTCGTCCAGATTGTCCGACTCCCACGAGTCTGGAGCTGCTTGCTCTTGACCGTTCAATTCCGTAGCTGATAACGAGGATGGCGGTGTGGATGAAGATGGCAGTGCGGAAGCTGCTGCGGTGGAAAGTGAAGGTGAGGAGGACAAGGATGATGCTGATAGTAATGATGCTGGTGGCGCAGATCCAGCCGCTGCTGCCGTCGCCATGACTGTTTCGAGTATAATTCGTGCAACGACCTTTGATTGAAACGAACGATGTAGAAACGGTTACGATACGATCTTGCTCCGGCCCCCTTGTAATCCACTGGAACGCCTCGGAATTGGACCAAAATTGAACCGATTGCCACGAGATTACCAGTCAGGCGACCTTAGAAAACAGACCGGAAAGCCTTGAGACCACGGCACGAACAATATTCAGCTTAAGAAAAATCCCTGGAACTGGCAAACCTCACGGCGAATCCTCCATCCCTGAGGCAGAAGCCTGATTCTTTCCTGCTCCTGCTCCGCATAGCTTCTTAACCTTTCCTCCATAAATCGCATTCCTGACACTCCAGAGCATAAAGCTTGCATCAATGAGGCTTGCGGCCCTTAACGAAAGCCCAGGGCCGTCCGATCTGACAACTACGTTGATCAACGGATGAACCCTGCACGGTGAACATAGATCAAGAAGACACTTCTACATACTGACTCTTCTAGGTTCCAGGAGTATGGTGGAGATAACAAAAAGCTCCAGGCGTATTGAATCTCAGACAGGTTAGCAATGGTTCGATGCGGTCAATGAGGCAACCGTTTGGGATCTTTCAGCGTCGTATTCAACCGAACTTTGAGCCTGAAGTGAGGGACCACTTCGATTCGAAGGGGTTGTGTATGGGTGGAGTTCCCAGGACTAGCGGAACCGAAAATGGAGTTGGCGGAAGGTGGTCTCCACAATCATCGAGACATGGCTGACGGGAGCGGAGCTTCCGAGGTTCCTGAAGAAACGCGTGTATTACACTGGCTTTTGATCCGATCATTTGCACCATGTAAGGAAATTCCCTTTTCCTTACTTCGCATCCCTGCTCAACGCGTACATCACTGTAGCACCTGTTGGGCTGAAAAGGCCCTAAGGATCTTTACAGAGGATAACTCTGGGTAGGATACTTTGTAATAGCCGAAGCGTTTAATGAAGCTTTGTGAACCGACCTTGCACTAGTGTGTGAGAGCAAAGTAGATTAAATTATATTGAAAGGATACAAGCTTATATAATAATACAAGGAATATGAAGAGATACGGTTATAACTACTTCTACTGTTGCTGTTGCGGTTCGATACAGTGCGACTCGGGCAACTGCTCTGTAACGAGTCAGTTGTGTGTCCTTAACTGTCGCGCTGTTCTTGTCAGGTCAAGGGTCAGCGACCTTTGACTTTCGCGTAACTTCCTGCAGGCGATTCAACCTCCGAGGGTTGACTCGCAGGTGCTTCGGTGTAGGTTGCCTCGCTTCTGGTGCAATGTTTTGACACTGCTGAAGCGTTTAAGTTCCATTGTTTCCAACACTCCCCTTCGCTTCTGGAGTGTCGCTACTGGTGACGTGGCTCTGTCCAGTCAGCAGCATGCAGTATTCGAACTTCTGCTTTCCGAGCTTCTTGGTCAAGTAATCGGCTGCCATCTCAGACGTGGGACAGTATGACAGTTCGAGTTTCCCCTTCTCGATCTCGTCCTTCACGAAGAAATAGCGCAGGGCAATGTGTTTCGTCCTGTTTGCGAAGCCGTTCTTGTTGGCGATGCGAATTGCTGACTGGTTGTCGCAGAACACGGTGAAGCTGGGTAACTCGGCTAACTTCGCTTCTTCCAGCAGTTCGCGAAGGTAAAGTCCCTCCTTGGTGGCTGAGCAGAGTGCGATATATTCCGCTTCAGCTGAAGACAGTGCGATTAACTCCTGCTTACTCGACTGCCAGGAGATAGGACCGATAGGCTCGAGGCGGTAGACATAGCCGGTGCGTGAGCGCCTATTGTCGGTGTCGCCGGCGTGATCGGCGTCGACGTAGCCGATTAGCTTGGTCGGTGTAGTTGCGTTTTTGTGATAAGTTAGTCCGATCGTCGCGGTGCTGACGAAGTAGTGGAGAGCGCGATCGAGTTCCGCCAGATGCTCTACTTCAGGCTTCTTGAGATAGGTGGCGAGCTGACTCGCGGAGTAGGATAAGTCGGGACGGCATGTGACTGCTGCGAAGAGAAGACACCCGAGCTTCTTCTGATAGTCGCGTATGCCGGCAGGCTTGAGTAGAATAGATCGTTCCTTTTCGGTTCCTGACGTGTAGCGGTAAGGCGTGGAGAGGGCGCTTGGTGTGAGACCGAAGCGTTTCGCGATGGTGTCGGCGTATTTCTCGGCGCTGAGGTAGATCGCGTCCTTCCCTTCTCGGATGTTGAGTCTGAGATATTGCGTGACGGTAGATGAGACGGTGAGGGTAAGGTCCTTCTGCAGCTCCCCTTCGAACCACGTGGCGATGCCGTCGGTTGACCCAATGTAGAGGAGATCGTCCACGTAGACGATCAGGAGAACGTAGTCGCTTCCCTTTGTGAGGCGGTACATGCCCTGGTCATGCGGGAGTTGTTTAAAACCGATGCGGATAAGGCGGGTGTGCAGGTACTGCTGCCACAGTCGCGGTGCCTGCTTGATCCCGTAGAGCGACTTAAGCAGCTGACAGACTTGATTGGGTTCACCGTGGGAGCCGTGCGGGAGCTCGACGAAGATTTCTGCATCCACAGGTGCGTAGAGAAAAGCGTTTGCGACGTCGATTTGTCGCAGTTTTTTTTTCTTCATGGCGGCGATGGCGATGAGGATTCGGAGTGAGGTGTGACGCCTGACCGGAGCGAAGGTTTCGGTGTAGTCTCTTCCGAGCTCCTGGTCAAAGCCGCGCACGACCCAGCGAGCTTTGAATTTGTCGATGGTGCCGTCAGCTTTCGTCTTCACACGGAAGACCCACTTCCCGGTAAGGATAGTCTTGTTTTGTGCTACGCCGATGGGAACGATTTTCCAGGTGTTGCGCTCCTCCAGTGCCTTCAGCTCTTTGTCCATGGCTTCACGCCATTTCTCCCTATGTTCCCCCCCCAGAGCCTGTTGAACCATCGCAGGCTCTTTAGGAATGGCGGCGCCATGGACTGCGGTGACGAGTCCAAGGATTTGGAGGCCACTCTGTGTGTAGCGGGGGAGTGTGCCGGGGAGAGTGTTGTCCTCGGGATAGGCTGCTTTGTCTCCCTCTTCTGGATCAGGTATGAAGTTTGGTCCTATGCGTTCAGCTTCGTCGGTGTTGACTCTTGCAGGTGTTACGTAACCGTTGTCGGCGAAATGGTAGTAGATTTCGGCGTTGTTACTGTCGCGCGGGTTTTCGTCATCCATGGGGACGTTGACAGAGCAGTACGGGAGTGGTCCGGCTGCTTCCGAGGCTCCTTCCACGTTCTGCTCGTCCCAGTCAGCTTCGTCTTCTGCCGATGCGAAGGCTCGGTTGCCACGGAAACCACCTGTGGGGTCTCGGTTCTCGTCCAGGTTGGCAAGATAAGTTTGCATGGTGAGTCGTTCGTAGAAGATGATGTCACGTGCTGCCACTGTTTCCTTCGTGTGGACGTCGAAGATTTTCCATGCGTTGTAGTGTTTTTCGATGCCCAGGTGTAGCCCCCACTGTGCTCGTTGCGAAAATCGGCCGGCCCGTGCAGATGGTGGTCGGTACTGTACCATGCACCCAAAAACTCGTAACATGTTTGTGTTGCCCAATTTCCCGGTCCACAGCAGATGCGGTGATGCATTGTTCGGGAGTGACGACGAGGAGAGCAAGTTGTGTAGCATTACAGCGTGGTCCATCGCTTCTGGCCACTGGTGGTTGGGAAGCCGCATGCCACGTAACAGTTTCCGCATGGTGTTTTGGAGGGTCCTGTTCAGCCTTTCTGCTACACCCTGTTGTTGATGGGCGTAAGGAAGGGAGATGAGGCGCTTGATGCCTATCTCAGCCAGGTAGTTCTTGAACCTCGTCGAGGTATATTCTCCTCCTCCGTCTGTTTGGAAGCTTTTTAACTTGACGCCCGATTCCCGCTCTGCTACGGGAAGCCACGCGACGAACGCCTCGAACGCCATATCTTTGCTTGGGAGATTCAGGTGCCAGACGTAGCGTGTTGCGGCGTCGATGAAGGTAATCGTGTAGAGGTACGTATTCTGCCCTGGTTCACGGTTGTACAGGATGTCGCTGTACACCTTTTCGAGTGGTGTGTAAGCTGGTGCACTTGGGTTGTGGTGCGATGGGAACGGTTGATGAGGTAGGTCTCCTTCTGGGCAGGTGAAGCATGTGCCGCGTACGCGTTGGAGTTCTTGTCCGTTGGTTAATAGGAGTGAGTCTTTGTCGAGCACTCCTGCTCGTATTGTGTTGTTTAACACTGTGTTGCTTGGATGTCCCATTCTTGCGTGCCAGGTTGCTTCGTCGGCACGGTGTCCGAGTGATCGTCGGTACAGATCCGAGTTGGAGTAGAAGCTGGTGGTGAAGTTGGGGCTGTGATGAAACTCTCGTGGTGCTGGCTGAAACTGTTGTGCAGGTGTCGGTGATGCGTCGTCAACGAGGACTGGTGCCGTTGAAGGACCAGCGACTGGTGTTGTTGTTGGTGCCGTTGTTGTCTCTGCTGCTGCCGATGTTGTTCCTGCTGCTCCCGATGTTGTCTCTGCTGCTGCCGATGTTGTTCCTGCTGCTCCCGATGTTGTCTCTGCTGCTGCCGATGTTGTTGCTAATGCCCTTGTTTGCTCTGTCTCAACGATGGTATACGAATACCAGAAGCCGCCCGGACTGAAGTCAGGGTCAAGGTCCGGAGGGTGTGTCCAGTTGGTGAAGTTAACTATGGCGTCACTGTCGGCGGTGCCAAGATCGGGAACGAAGTCCAAGACGAAGACGTTGTTCTTGAGGACCGCCTTCCCGATGTAGAGACCTCCTCTCCCATGATACAACTTGAACTCCTGGATGGTGCTGTCTGCTTCGAGGTGAATACCTTTCGCCATCAGCTGACTGACACTCAGTAAGTTGTAGCCGAGGCCTTCTGCAATTAAAACCTTTGACATCTGTAGTATGACGTTTGTCTCTCGCGACTGAAGTTGTACGATTCCTTGCCGTCGTGTGCGCAGGTTCTGGTTGTTGGCGACGGTTATGACGACTTCCCGTTGAAGCTGGTATTCTTGTTGTACGAAGCGTCCTGAAGAG